GTGTAGTAGACAGCATTGATATACAGTTGAGTCATTTCTACCTGCTCCTCTCTGTCAACGCTCTCTGGTTTCATTTAAAAGAGTCGATCATCAGATATTGTCCAAGATTAACCTTCAGGGTGGATATAGCTCGCTAGCAGCCTCGCACCGATGACCTAGTTGATGTCATCATTTACCCAGAATGCTTTGTGTGTAAATAAAATGGCTCCATCCATGTTAAAATATATTTAAAACAATTTACAAATCTAAACAGCCTACAGTATTTTTACCATCTTTATTTTACAGTTAAAATAAATGTTTATCAAATAAAGTTTAATGTTACAACTAATCAGGGATCCCTTTAACGTGTGTGAAGGAAAAAGCTGGCTRTTGAGTATTTTTAACAAATAAATCCTGGGTATGTATGCATAAACACACCTAAAAGCAAAACGTGGTACATGTGGTGATGTAATGCCCCATGATGACAGGTCAGGTCTCCTGGGACTTCAGTCTGCCTCCGCCAGTCTGAGACACGGCCACTTTGATACAATTTTAATGAACACATGGGGGAAACTGGGTCAATGCACTGCAGCGTAGAACAAAGAAGCACTCTGAAAGAACACACATCAAAACACACCGGAGGTTATTCGGTTTTGTAGAGACAATGACTAAATACAAAGAGAAGACATTTGTATCATAATAAAGCTGGCTTATTTCTTGCATTTTAAACTAAATATGTTTCTTAAATATATAGATATTTTTGAGGAGTTTATTGTATCTTACAGATCTGTAGTTTTCACTCCCAAGAGATACCGTAACATCTGCATCAATTATTCAACTTTTAAGCTAGTTGAATAATTATGACTTCTACTAGTAATAACACACATTCATTATCATTTATCTATAGTCAACCTTTAAAAAATATGCACTGCACTCCCGGTGATACTTTAAATGATTAAATTTGTCTCTACTGATATTGGCTAACTATTTTCTCAGCAGGTCAGGTTTGTCTAAACCTAAAAACAGTCAAATATATATTTTTACACTGTGCAAATATTACATAAATCAGAGGCAAAACCATCTTGTAATATTTGTWATGAATTATATCCATGTTCTGTTTTTGATCCAAGTCACGTCATGTTTTTCCACCATTAACCTGCTCATTGTTTCACCCCTCCCGTCACAGAACTCTTAATCAGCCTCATGCCACTCATCTCTTCTCCCCTGTACTTAAGCTCCTCTCCACCAGTTTTCCTACTAGTTGTCCAGCACTCATGTCACGTCTCGCCTTTCTCGTTACGGCCTTGTTTTTGCTCTCTGGATCCACGTCTCCTGCCTCGCCCCTCAACGGTACTGTCTCGGACTCTGCACTCCTGGTTTTGACCCTCGCTCACGGAGAGGCGCAATTTGCAGCAGTGGCAGCTGCCACCGCAACTGCCAGAGGCTGCCACCGGAAGTGACAGCCGCTTGCTGCCAAACACTGCCAGAGAATGTCACTGTGTGCCACAGGGTGCCAGAGGGTGCCACTGTGTGCCACTGTGTGCCACAGGGTGCCAGAGGGTGCCACTGTGTGCCACTGTGTGCCACAGGGTGCCAGAGGGTGCCACTGTGTGCCA